ACCTCGTATGCAGTTTAAATGAATTGCATCTTGAATAATCAGCAAGTACAAGTATCCTTACTTTTTCTTTCCTCCTTTCTTTCCATCTTTCGTTCTTCTCATTTTCTTCCTCTTTTTTCTCAGGCGAACGGGGGGAGGGGGGAGGGATAAAGTCCGCAGTCTTACGTAAGACACTCGCTTGGAAAAAAGGAATCATTTCCAGTAAAAATAATTTTGTAGGTTTTTTTTCAGATTTCCCTCGTTATTTTCTAGAAAAGATGGAGAGGGGAGGGGGACAAGCTAGTCTTAGGTACGTAATTCAAGAGGGGGAATTGGTGAAGTTGTTTTACCGGTGTCTTGCAGAGGGGATCAAAAAGTTGGTCAAAATCCTCACGTAATACTTGAAGCACTCCTGACGGGTATATATTCTCTTTACCGAGACAGAGAGTGATGGGGAATTGTTATCAAATTATAAAAACAATTCGGAGAAAACTTTGGAATCTTTCCTGAGCGCATTAATACTAAATGCAAAATTAAACTTCGCAAATGCAAATGCAAATACAAAATGCAATTTAGCCTCTCTGGCTCAGAGCCCTTCATTTGAATATTTCAAAAGATATTCAAACATGTAATTTGAGCTTGGGAAGCGCAGACATGTCGGGGCATCCTAATGTGCTAATATGCTTGGATACCTCGGCTGTCTGCAGCGGCTCTGGCTTATCTGACCAGGATCACGAGCCAATTTATTCACAGCATCAGGCGTAGCAGCTTCAATTTCTGGCAGATGCCATATCGGTAAAACATCACGGGTCCCCTATCGACCCACGCGGCATATCAATGGTGAAACTGCACTGCTGATGAGTTTACCGGAGAGAGCAAGATGAACTAAAATGAAGTTCTGAGAAAACGAGTACTTATCCGAGGAAAGTACGGACGAGTCAAAATATTGAGCTCCTTAGGGCTAAAAAGGGCAGCAAACCCTCTAACACGAACGCAATGAACGGAGAGAAAATCTTCGTGCATGAGACGGGGACCCGAAGTTGAGGTCATATGGATCTCTTAAGTTTCCGGACCACGCATCCGAAAACTTGAGGTCCAGCTGCCGAAGTTCGGGTCAGACATCTGAAGTACTTAGCTACCGAAGTGTTCGGGTCACACAGCTGAAGTGCTCGGTACATACCGAAATACTTCAGGTGTCTGACCCGAACTTCGGCAGTCGGACCTCAAATTTTTGGATGCATGATCCGAAAACTTCGGAGATCCATATGACCTCAACTTCGGGTCCCATGCACGAAGTTTTTTTCTCCGTATGCTAGAAAGTTTCCGATGTCAATCTTCAGATTCTAATATCAAAGTAAAATGGCCAAGAATGTTCATAAATGAGCGACCCTCCGCTAAAATGAGTAAAAGACACCATTATCTTCCTTATTGTGCCTTATTTTGGGGGCTGATGGAGGATCAACTGATCGTGAGAGGCCCAAAATGATCGGTTTTAAGTCATGAGCATTTAAAAAAATTTGACTTTGACCCCGCCCCCTATTTCCTCGGGGTTTTGGGCAAAAAAACCGAGTATTTTTAGGCTTCCCAGATAATCTTCTGTCAGCCCCCAAAATATGGTACGACTCCCCGGGGGGCCAAAAACCCCGATTTTGGACAGTGGCCTTTATGCAAAATCTAAGTCAAATTCATGCTTTACGAAACTACGTGCCGTGATGATTTAGGCCATATTTAGGATTTAGGCCATTAGGCCCTAAAGGCTCTGTGGCCTAACCTCCAAAGTTACTGGCGTATCCGTATTCTTCAGAGTCCACAGCAGTGGCGTGGTGTACTTTGCGATATATCGATTGTTATGCCATTTAAACCTACGGGAGAGGATCAATAAACAGGGTGTTCGCAGCGAACGCCTTAATAATCGATTCTTTACCATAGGTTTAAATGGCATAACAATCGATAAATCGTAATTCACGCCACGCCACTGGTCTACACTTCTACAGTCGCATGAATTCATGACGACGACCGCAGTTTGACGGAGTAAAAACGGGTTGATGAAGCAAGTCCCTCTTTTCTTCGTGGCCTTGGCTGATATAACAAACTCGACTCCATTCATAAGTCTGCACCATTTTTTTGCCGTCCGAAGTTCGGGGAAGTTAGTTTGGCAACAGTTTGATGGTTTTTGCACTGGCGCAAGTTCGAGCAAGTTGAGTTGGCGGCCCTCCAAGAACCAGGATGGCGGGACGTTTGTTTAAAAGGGTCCGATAATGAAGGGATTGTATGCACTGGAGCAGTGCACTGTGCACTCCGGCTCGCACACCCGAATCTCCGGCTGCCAACTTTGTAACTACAGTTTTTCTTCGTTAAAATGCTTCACTGACTCCGGCTTGACAACTGCAGAGCTCGGCAACTGACAGTCTTCTCCAGTCACGCGCTTGGACCCGACTCCAAGTCTGTCGTGCTAGGGAAGAACGCCGTATGAGCTTTCAGACGCTGCCAAGCTTCCTTAGATAAAAAGCGAATTTATTTGGAAAACAGTGAATATTTTTCCCAAAATTTTCACGCAATTTAATCTCAAATGTTTGAAAATTTCAAGGAAAAATAAGCATGAATGTCGTCGAAAATACATGGTTTATCAAGGGAAATTTGACAACTCTTGAATGTTTACACGGCGTTCTTCCTTAGCACGGCAGCAGGAGCGTGGCATGCTTTGCGATCTATCGATATTTCCTCCATTTGAACCTACGGTAAAGAATCGATTATTAAGGTGTTCGTTGCGAACAGCCTTTCCATCGATCCTTTCCCAAAGGTTTAAATGGAAGATCAATTGATATATCGCAAAGCACGCCACGTCACTACCAACTCCATGCCCAATCCTTCGTTTAAATCCGGTCATCAGTGCCTTTAATTTATCTCTTCGATTAGCTGATTTTTCGTCTTCTCATTTTTTTTCTCTGACTCTTCCAACCTCCTAACAGCTAAAGTTCGGTGGGGTGGCGTACTTTGCGATGTATTGATTAATCTGTCATTTAAAGCCGCGGAAAAGGATCGAAAAACAGGTTGCTCGCAACGAATAACTCGATGATCAATTCTTTACTACAACTCCAAATGAGGAAATATCGATAATCGATCATTCACGACTCGCCACAGCTAAGGTGAATTCCATATTTCAAAAAAAAACACAATCCGTCGTTCCCTTGCGAATAGTGGCGTAGCGTGCTTTGCGATCCATCGATTGATCTGCCATTTGAACCTACGGAAAAGGATCGATTATTAGGGTGTTTGCAACGAACACCCTAATAATCGATTCTTTACCGTAGCTTTAAATGGGAAAATATCGATACATCTCGAAGCGTGCCACGACTGCCACGCCGCTGCTTGCGAAAGAACGTAACTACATTTCAACGTTGCCAAATGAACCATCGCAAGTTGCATTTTTACCAGGAAAATCTTGGGATTTTCTGACTGAAAATGTCATTGATTTTTCTTCTGATCTCACTTGAAGATCAAAGAAATTTTGGAAAAAATTGCACTCGTCCATTCTTGTAAAAAACTGAATTGTTTGAGTCAACATTGCAACCTTTGAATGGAGTTACGTTCCTTCGTTCTGGAGAAAAGGGATCGACATCTAGAGACCAGCGGGCCGATTATTGAAATTGATATAGACAAAGGAGACAAAAGAGATACGGAGAGATCCTATTGGTGGAAGCGGGTGGTTGCAATGGACAAAGGAGGTAGGTAATCGACTAAGTAACGGCAACCCACGAGAGACCCGACAGTTAGTCTATCAGTTTCTCCTTTTGTCTATAGGAACCACCCATTTAAACCAATAGGATCGCTCCATACTCCCTATGTCTTCTTTGTCTATCGCTTTGTCTATCAGTTTCAATAATCGCCCCGCAGATAAAAGGCGGGAGAAATAAATCTGAAGTCCTGCTGTCACATCCCAAGATCAGGCCATATTGATCTCGGGAATTTTCGGGTCGTTTTTCCGGAAACTTAAGGTCCAACTACCCAAGTTGGCCCGTCAGGTTGGCCTGGTGGTCAGCACGTCTGACTCTAGGTCAAAAGGTATTGGGATCGAATCCCGGCAGTGGCGACAAATGTTCACGGAACTGACGGGTGGATCCACTGAAACAGATTCTACTCGATCTTAATCCCTGAAAATTTGAAAGGCCTAGAGCATAGACAATCCCCTGATAGCTGTAGATTCCTAAAGGAATAAGCTGATAAAGCAGGAAAAAAGGAAAAAAATATGGATACCGAAGTTTGGGCCACATGCCCCCAGTACTTGGGTACTGAAGTAGGACCGTATTTATGCTAAATGGAAATGGAACTATGTGCAAGTCGAAAGATGGGGTGTGCTCGTTAAATGAGGGCCATAAGAATGAATGGGACTTTAATAGTGCCAGTGACGTCAGCGGCAACGACCGAGACTGGGTAGGACGGGGAGATCGGTGGCGGGACTCTTTTAACTCACGAGCCCTGTCCACAACGCTGCCTTGCTAAGGAAAAACGCCGCATGAACATTCGAGAGTTGCCAAATTTCCTTCGATGAAATGTTTATTTTTGAGGAGAGCTTTGAATATTTTGCCTCAAAATTTTCAGGGACTTTACGTGAAATTGCGAACAAAATCATATGAAAAATTGGAGGAAAAATACTTACAAATTTTCCCGAGAATTCGTGATTTACTAAAGTAAATTGGCAACGACTGAGGGTTCACACGACGTTTTCCCTTAGTACGGCAGAACGCTCTTGTCACATGCCCACTGCTCACGAGTTAGCGCTCAGTTCCTTTTGATTTGACGTAAAATTCCGCTTTTCCATTTTCTCAAAAGGAACTATATCCACTTTTACACCGTTTCTTATGCAGCTTGCACGAGCACACCCTGTCTTTCCACTTGCATATAGTTCCTTTTAGCATAAATACGTCCACTTGACTCTTCAAAAGTTACGAAAATGAGAAAATACAGTGTTGCCAACTTGGAAGAATCGCCACCAGCCATAAAGTAATAATATCATGACTCACCTTTATAGGATATCCCAGGTACGAACCCGTGACTGGTGTCGAAGAAACGATGAGTTAAGTTGAAGAGGATATCCTCGGGGCGCCCGGTGACGATGGGCCCGTCGTGGGTGTCCAGGTTGTTCCTGCAGGAACTCTTCGTCGGTGGATCTCTGTTCCTTCCCCCCTGGGGAGAGGTCCCGTTGGACTCGGGGTCTCCGGTCGGGGGGCTCCAGCTATCCAGGGAGGGGAGGACTCTCGTCCGCGGGGATTCGAATCCCGAGGGAGCCGACGTAGAACTAGAATTAGAATTAGAAACGGTCGAGCAGTTGTGAACGGGGACTAGGAATAGAATCAAAGCGAGTAACTTAAAATTAACGCATTTAAAAGCAAATAAAAATTGTTGCATTTCAGCTATATCACAGACGGAGTAAGGGAACCTCGCTACTCTTCTCGGACCGGGAGTCGAAATTGGAACTCCCGAAATATTGCTCCCATGGTAAACAGTATTGCTTCGTTTGTACTCGTGACTACCGCAAGCCGTAGTCGTTGCCCCCTTTCGGAATTTCCCGATGTCACAATCTCGGGTGGAGACCTCCTCCCCCGCCTCCTCCTCTTCCTCTTCTTCTTCCTCTTCTTCTTCTTCTTCCTCCTCGTCCATTCTGATGAGCATGCGTTGCGAGGGTGTCAACTATGAATCACAGTTGTGCGTCCCTGCAACAAAGCGATGGGTTGACAGTAAGTAAGGTGAGAAAAATGAATACCCATTCTTGTGAAGTAGAGTTACAAATTAATTTGTTTTCTTACCTCCCTCCTAAAGATAGCCTGCACTGGAAAAAATACCGTAGATTTTACCAAACTCTGACACAGTGATCCGAGTACTGTAATCACCAGATTCCATGGTAGCATTTCCCATATTATCGTAAGTACAGCCAGAGTTCTGGTGAATACTACTTTAATTCTGGTTATTTTTACTAAATAGTATGAGTAAAAAATCAAGTAGACTCATTGTAGATGTTACCATACTTTTTTTTCAGTGCGTCGAACCGAAAAGAGCCCTGTTAAGGTTAGGTTAACTGAAATTGACTCGATCCACTGTGCGCCGGCTTTGTTTTGACCCGGGCTTCCAGGACTTCATGTCCACATACCTTTCGTCCATTAAATAAATGTCCACCGCTATTTATGTCCACTAAACATTAAGTCCAGTCTATATTAAGTCCACATGATTTAATGTCCAACCATGATTATGTTCAAAATTGTCCAAATTGTGGACATGTTATGTCCACATTTTTTTCTTCTCATTTAAATGACAGGAACCACCTCAAAAATAAATGCATACTACTACTACCTTCATTCTTAAAAACATTTCATTCATGAATCAAGTCATGAAAGAGAACAGACTCTACGAGCAGATAAAAACATATGTTCGTTCACGTGTACACTGTGCGGATATGATAAGATGAAAACCGAAGCGGGAGCCTAGGAAACGCTCCAATGCCAATCAAACATTTTTCAGTAACAAATGCTGTCAAAATTGAAAGTCCTCTTTAACTAGTTATTTCGTGCGCCTTCAATCTTGTAGGATACTGTGTAACGCCTTTGACGCGAAATAGTTGCTTAAAGTACTGCGGCGCGGCACTCAACCAGCGTGACACGCGCATAGGCGCCTACAAACCTAACGGGATACTTCACGCGTTGCGCAATGCGTGAAGTATCCCGTTAGGTTTGTAGGCGCCAGTGCGCGTTCTGCGCTGCTAACACGCCGCTCCGCTCTGTGTTAGGCTCTAATATTTAAACTCGCGGAGTCAGCGTTTTTCAACTCATGATTTTGAAATTTGTGCACTCTCTGCATTGATTATTCCAAAGTAGTAGTATTCACCAAATTTTCTCATTTCAATATTGTCAATATAGTTTTACACACGGACTAAAATATAACGCTTAAATTTGATTTTATTGGACTTTACATGTGTGGACTTAACTTAGTGGACGTTTAAGTAATGGACTTAACAATAGTGTGGGCTTTAGAACTGTGGAAGTAAAAATTGTGGGCGAAAAGTCTGTGGACGTAAAAAAAGTGGACATAAAGTCCGTGTACCTGACCCGGGTAATTAAAGCTAGGGGTATACTGCCGTGCAACACAAAAACGCCGTAAACGCCATTTTACATTTTTTTTTAAACAACTTATGATAGCAGAAAGACTTGTGTGCCTTAGGACAATGTTTTTACAGAATTTTTTTGCAAATACTATCAAAAACTTAACTTGAAAATTGGAGGTTCATGGGTACAACAGTTTTTACGTTATAAAGTATTAAGTTCTAAAAACCGAAGGAAAATCTTGATGGATTTACGGCGTTCTTGCTTAGCATGACAATATAGTTCGAGTGCCAAAAAAAAAGTAAAAACCCGTAAAAAAAAGAAAGAGAAAAAAGAAGAAAAATCTAAGCCGAGGAGGCTGTCGACGAGGTATAATTATATGCATGAGAGACGAATCCTTGCAAGGATTTCTGGAGCAAGGCCGCCAACAGCGAGATGTTAGATTTAGGAAGCCAAGCAAGCTCGGCTGGCGGCCATCGACGCGATGCCCCTTCGCCTCCACTTTCATCTCTCTCGGGGCGACGCACAGTGGATCGAGTCAATCGGAAAGGTCACACATGGAATTTTTTACTAAAAGTGCAAATTTTAAGGTGCACCGAAAAAAAATTGAAGTTAATTTAACATTCTGGATGTAAAAAAAGTGTGCGAGAACTTACAATATGCTAAAATACCTGCCACAGCAGTTACTTCAGCAATGCCAAGATGTAAAATTAAGTGCTGTGGCGGGTAATTCAGCATTTATAAGTTCTCGCACACTTTTTTTACATTCAGAATGTTAATTTAACTTCCCTCTTTTTTCGGTGGATGGACGCCATATTTTGTGTCAGAACGGCATGCGATATATCGCAACAATTGGCTCCATTTTGTCAGCTACTTGTCATTTTTCTCGAATTTTGAGATCGCCATTCTGTTGTAAGGTGACTAAAGCACTCACTTACCAATTTTAACAAAGAAATTCAACGTAATAAAGGCGTGGTTTTTTCAGAGAGGAAACATCGCATTCGATACTGATATCGAAACTGCACTCGAATGCGATATTTCCTCTCTAAAAAAAAACCACGCCTTTATTACGTTGAATTTCTTTGTTAAAATTAGTAAGTGAGTGCTTCAGTCACCTGACAACAGAATTGCGATCTCAAAATTCGAGAAAAATGACAAGTAGCTGAAAAAATGGAACCAATTGATGCGATATATTGCATGCCGTTCTGACACAAAATACGGCGTCCATCGAATCACCTTAATGTTCAATTCGTTACATTTTCAATTTTAAGGGGTGCGTACAGAAGAAAATTTCACGATGAACCAACGGAACCTCTTGCAGGATTGCCACAGAATTTAGAAAATGAAACTCCCTGACATTTTCCTGATTTCTCCGACACATTTTGGTGAAATTCCCTGACAATTGAAGATCTGACGGATGGTTAAGAAAGCATAATTGAAAATAGTTTTCAGGCATGATCTCTTCTTCAGAATCCCAAACCCATTTTGGAGAGCAAATGAAGGTGGTTCAATAAATTTTCTCTGACATTTTCGTCATTTTCCCCGACATTCCCCTGCTTTCCGTGACTTTTTAAAATTCACGGAAAAAACGAGTTTAGGGCTGGTACCTGCGCCGAAGGTCCCAGCCCTAACCGGGTAGGTAAAATTGCTTCACCTCCACCGCCATAGGAGCAGGCCCGGCGCGCGTAGAGCCCAAATCTACCTGCTCCAGGGTTCAGCCCTACCTGGTAAGAGCTAGACCCTGTCCAGGTAGGGCTGGGCCTTACCCGCGCAGGGCCTGCCCCTGTGGCGATGGAGGTGAAGCGATTCTAGGGCCCAGCCCTAATCTCGTTTTTTCAGTGTTCCCCGACATTTCTAGGTTTTCCCGTTTCTCCCTGACTGTGACAACCCTGCTCTTGTAAAATCTCGGAGTTTCGATTTAACGGAGTTATAAGCTTTTAAAGTTTCCGAATTTCGTTCGAGCTCGCCCCTTGTCTCGATCCACTGTGCGACGACGCGTCTAGCCGCCACCGCGGTGCATAATAATAGGCTGCTGGGAGCTCCGCGAAGCGCGATGAGGCGAAGCCACAGGTAACGCCCGCGCCCGCGCCACGCCGCCGCGCCGCGCCGCGCTCCTCGTCGTCGCCGCGGAACATCCAAGCGCAACCACGTCCTCCAAATCTCCTCAGCATCCAACGCCAACACAGGCACCGCTGGCCCCCGAGGGGATCAGGACGTTACATCCACCTGCGATGCATCCAGAGACAAGAGACCCTCCACTGGCCTCCCAGCGACAGGTCGAAGCTTTTACTTTCGGGGTTTCAACAATTCCTTACGGACAATTATTAGGGAGCAACAGTCATCACGCTAGTTTCGGCTGTTGACTTACCTACATGGTCGATGATGAGCTTCGGAAGACGTCATGAGCCAAACAACTTTCACAAACGTCGGCCGTTTTCGGCTTGTTTGCAAAACGAAACTGCCAACACGATGTTGAACATCAACCATGTAAGTAAGTCAACAGTAGAATGCTGAAGTCCCGAAAGTAAAAGCTTCCACCATGGCCAAGATACTAGAGTACCTATATTGAGAGAGTATGGCCACTGGAGTTACCACCTCTGATTGGCTCAGCCATCTTAGCTAGGCTGAATGGAGCCCTTAGGACCCAAAAATGGCGGACGCCGTAAAGTTAATGTAATGCAAAATGATTCAAAATGTAGTTGTCTTTGCTTATCGTAACGAGAACTTTACCCAAATGCACTATTGCGACTTTTTTACATATTTTTAAGGCTAATCGTGTGCAATTTTTGAGAAAAATGATCTTAGATGTAGTAAGGTTGGCAGCAAGTGCGGTTGGTGATAACCGTCAAAATTTGGCAATGACCCCCCTCCCATCCTCAAAAACCAAAACAAAGCACCGCCATTTTTGGGTCCTAAGCCTCTCCATGGGACCCAGTGGCCATACTCTTTTAATATAGGTACTCTACAAGATAGGTACTAGTGGAGGGTCTCTTGTCTCTGGATGCATCCATCCAGCCGTTAGGTTAGGTTAGGTTAGGTTAGGTTAGGTTAGATTAGGGAAGTTACATAAGGGTGGATGCATCGCAGGTAGATGCAAAGTCACGCACTCGCCACCGAGACACCACTCTGCCGCCCTAGCGGAGAGAGTAGTAAGTGTCGGCCAAATTTTAGAAATCGAGTTTTCTTCAAAATGCGTCTGATCTCTTTCAGATGAAATTACTGAAATAGCTAAAACTAAAGTACCTGTATACAGGGAGAGTATTGTCATCTCGATCGTTTTGCTACAGAAAAATTGTGCCGCTCTCTGATCGGTCGGCTATCATGGAGCCTCCAATTTGGACCAATGTAAACCAACCAGAGCCCCTCCGCTCCTAGTTTGGCCCAATGTAAATAAACAAGATGGCGGGAAAGTCTTACAAAGTTCTAGACGTGATTTTGGGTGTGACAGAAACTTTTTTATACCCAACTTCTGAATTGAGTTCGGATCGAACTTTGATGAATATTTTTGCCAAAAATTAAGCTTTGTAGAGTGATTATCATTCAATTCTCGGCCGATAATACGTGTTCCTCTGGGTCGGGTGTGTTTACATTGGTCCAACTTTGGAGCTCCATGATTGCCT